TCACTGCAGGGTCAGCAATGACTGAGCGCAGACCAAAATATATAAATATATAAAAGCAAGTATAACCAAGCACAGCATAGAGAGCATTAGATAATCTCTGCTGTTGCAGTGAAGGAGGAGAAAAAGGCGTTTGTCTCCACTGCAGGTCCTGAAAATCACTCAAGGGAGTTACTCTGGGAAGTTTGGAGCTGACATTGTCTGTTAGGACTATGTAAGTTCCCTTTGAGCCATTGGCAGTGAACTGTGAAGTTTGTTTTTTTTTTTAATTGCAAATAAAAATTGTTTATATCCATCACCAAATCAATGACAACATTAGAAAAGGTGACAGGGAGAAGGCTAATGCATCTGCTTGTCCTCTGTTAATGGATCAGGCTGAACCTGTTCTCCTTGAGGGTGTGAACAGAGTGCTTGGGTGAATTTAGGCTACTACATATCCTTTAGATTGAACTCCCTTTTGGTTGGAACTGGACAGGAGGGTTCAACTGAGAGAGGTATTATGTTGATCATTAATACCTCCCTTAGTAGCAGGGAGATGCTATCTGCAAGATAATTCATTGTTATTAGCCACATTTGGGATTTTCTTCTTTCCTTCAAAATGCCCCTTTCCTTCAAATAAAGGACATAGAGAAAAAAATCTGTCCCACTGCATCTGATAATGCCAGATGTAGGCATTAACATGCCTGAAGACCTCTAATGCCAACACCTGACTTTTTAAAAAGATTATTTTAATTTTAAAGTGTTAAATACAAAGCAAAATATCATTTTCTAGCATCTTTTTGTCTCCAGACCCTACATGGCCCTAGGGGGATTCCCAGAAAACACAAGTGATGTTTAGCTATAGCTCAGTCCTTTGATTACTCACCTTCCAGGGGACCAAAAAAAAAAAAACCAGGCAAAACATAAGTTGTGTTAGCAGAAAGCGTCCTAGGGAATTAAAGGGAGTAGCAGGAGCAGCCTCATCATTTGCCTTCTGATGAAAAGATGTTTTGCATAAGCTCTATGAGTATAGAAGTGAATTGCAAGGGTTGCACATACTGTAGACATAACCTACAATTATATAAAACTATACATTATGTACTATATTATGTGATATAGAATTAAGAATGCTAAACACAAATGCATTAAGATTTATGGTATGAATATTCAGGAACAATAGTTATATGACAGGATGGGAAGGAGAAAGCATCCCTTCCAGCTTTTAAAAATGAACTTAATATGATGGAAGCCTATGGTTATTATGCATTGTACAACAGGGACAGAATTGTTTTAATAATATAAGTGCTGATGCACATGAAATGCCACCTTTTTTAGAGACATGTATGGCTTGAAATTTGGGGGAATTGGATGCCACAACACTATCATCTTCCTCACACCAACTATTTTGCTGAACTTCATGCAACTTCAAATATTAATTTTCCTATCTGTTTCTTATTCCAACCCCAGGTATATGAATGCCCTAGATGCTTCAGTTACAGAAATCTCAACATACATGAAATTCAAGGAAATTATAAGGAGCCCAGAGCAGTTGCAAGATATTGTGAAAAGTTCAAGTCGAAAAAGCAATGGTAAGGAAACAGAGAATGCTTTGTGTTTGGAATCCACATGTCAGCCCACTAGGTAGACCAGACCATGAAATCAGCTCCACAGGATGCCTAAAGCTACTTTTATTGAGAGTGATTATAATAACAGAATCTTGCAAGTCTGGTTGTGCTGTACCTCCTCCTCTTCCTCATAGTTCAGTGAATTAGGGAGCTGTCTGTCGGAGCTGTTTACAACATAATCTGGACATTCTGGATTACTAAAATGCTTTAGCCCTTTTGCCTAGGCAACAGAGGCTGCATATTTCCGTCCAGGTCTCTACATCACATGACTGCAGTTGTAGTTTTGTAGTTGTTAACCAAGGCTCAGAGGGAGAATTCTATTAATTGGGAACAATGGCAGGAGAGAGAGAATTAATTTATTATTTATTGATGTGTCACTTTTGAGACTGAACAGTATTCTCTGAATTCCTGCTTATTCCACTGCAAATAAAAGAGACAATTATAATCAGGGCACTGTTCCTAACACCTTCTTGTATGAATAGCTATGGTGTGATTTCCATAAATTTAAAAAAGACAACAAGTCTCATCTGTCATCCTCATGAAGGAAATGAATGCTTTGATGTGATGTATGAAAAGCTATGCATGTATATTCTTAGCTGCATATAACTGGAATATAATAAGAAATATTATTTTTGTGCCTTTTTATTTTTTTTCTGAGTTGGGAATGATCAGCCTTTTAAGGCTAAGAAGACATATATAAAGTTGCCCAGTTTTGAACTTGTATCTGCCCCTTATGTACAAAATGCCCCAGAAGTCCTAGATACCCTAATCCAGCTTCTACTCTTAGAGCAGTGGCATGGAGTAACTATCTTACTCTGGGGTGAGATGATGATGATGATGATGATGATGATGATGATGAT